TAGTCTGCTGATGCAGTGAAGTCAGATAGCGAGAGGGTGAGAAGGAGATGGTGGACTGAGAAGAGGAAGAAGAAGAACTCTCTCTCTCATGTGTCCGGTACTAACTTGTGAAGATGGCGTTGTGTTGCAGGTACCTCGAAGACGAAGCCGGAGCAACGGTGCTGCAGGTAAGTGCCAGGTACCTCGAAGACGAAGTCGGAGCAACGGTGTTGCAGGTAAGTATCCCTGGCCTCCGCCCAATCTCTCTCTCTCTAGTACTACTCTAGCTATGGCGCCCAGCGCTGAAGACTACAACTAACGCTACTAGCGCCCAGCGCTGAAGACTGCTGCTAACGCTAAAACTACTCCTGCAGCGCTCCTCCAGAGTGTTGCTGCCGAATCCTGAAGACTACTGACTGCCTCCTGCCTGCTCGTGAAGTGCATGGGAAGTCCTTATGTACTACCTCGGCCTGTCTCCTGACTGCCTCCGACTGCCTGCAGTTGCAGGGCGGGCAGTCCAGGAGGCTGCTCTTGCCAATGCCAAACTGAGCCAGGGTCTGGCGCTGCAGCTGTCGTGGGAACATGCCAAAAATAGCCTGTTCCTAAAACCCTGGTTTGGTGCCTGAGTTTAAGGGCAGGTCGGTCTGGTGAAGGACCGAAAATGGCCCTTCATTTCAGGCTAAAAAGGCTACTGCCATTTTTAGTCTGAAACGACACACGGTCTGTAGGCCCCTGTTTTTCAGGCTTTCGAGCTGAACAGACACGGGGCCTGTAGGCCCTGGTTTTCAGGCTTTCAGCCTGAGGGACGCAGGGCCTGGAAAATGGCCCTCGTGTGCAGGCGCAACATGTAACACCCCCCCCCTCCTTATGAAGTCAAGCCGGGGCGAGGGCGAAGCTGACGATCTGAAGGTGGAACCTGGACGCGGGTGCGGCGTGGAGCCGAAGAGACCGGCTTGCCTTGCATCTTGCGTTCGTAGCGTGCAAGAACGTTTGGAGCTGTTGCTTGAAGTTCCACACGGGTCAACCAACGGTCTGCTCGGTGTGTGCAGTATGCAAAATGGACCAAGTACTCGGTTGGCCTGTTGTCGTAGCGTCGCTAGGAAATGATGTCGCCGACCTCCTGAAAACCGTCCATAAAGGGTGGGTCTTGCGAACATTGCCCGAGAAAATCGTCACATTCCACTGGCGTGCTAAGAGCCAACTTGGAGCAATGAAAGACTGGGTAGACGAGCAAGTGGGCGGCACCTGAATAGTGAAGGAAGGTCCCTCGGGTGCATCCCCAACGGGTGCCCCGATCGGCCAGGGCCCGATCCATTTCAGGAGGAGCTTGCGAGAGAGATCTTGTTCAAGGCTGAATTCCACGGCGGAAACCCACACGAGATCACCGACGCTGAATGGGCAAGGGAGACGCTGGCGATTAGCCTGTTGGCTCATGCGATGCTGCGTCCTGGCCATCTGGTCGCGTGCCTTGACAAGTAGCTCTTGCATCCGACGCAAGAAAAGAAGATGGTTGTCGCTCTCGGCTGTTCGTGGAATGATTGTGTCCAACGGCGAAGTGACCGGCGAGCCGTGCTCGAACTCGAAGGGCGACATCCCGATAGCCGGGTGGATGGACGATTTGTAGGCCAACTCGACATCCGGCAGCCGCTCAACCCAATCCTTCTGGTCAGGGCGGATGAGAGTGCAAAGGAGCACTTGTGCGGTCTGATGCGCCCTCTCTGTTTGGCCATCGGTTTGGGGGTGGCGAGCCGAACTTGGCTTGAGAGATTAGCCACATCGTTTGATGAGCGCCAACCAAAAATCGGACATGAACCGAGTGTCATGGTAGCAAACGATTTCCTTGGGGTAACCCTTGGTGCGAATCCAACCGGCACAAAGAACCTCGGCCAACTTCGGTGCCCTAGCATGATAGCGGCAAGGCAAAAACATGGCGAACTTGGTGAGTTGGTCGACCACCATGAGAATCCCATCCACATCGGTCTTGTGATTGGGGAACGGGCCGGTGATGTCCATGGCAATCGCTTCCCTTCGCCGCAAGGGGACCAGTAATGGTCGCAACTCGCCGTATGGACGATGGTTGTGGGATTTGCAGCATCGACAAACCTCACATGACTCACAATAGCATGTGACGTCGCCGAGAAGGCCGGGCCACCAAAATCGCTCGCGAAGTCGGCCAATCGTGCGATTGACTCCAAAATGTCCGGTGGCTGGAGCATTGTGGAACTCACCAAGAAGCTGTGTACGCAAGTGAGGGTCACTCGGTACGCATAGAAGGTCCTTCCCCCGTGTGTGGACAAGCAAGTACCCCTCTTGTATCTGGTAGTGAAAAGGCGCTGGATTAGGAGAGGAGCAATTCGCATACTTGTCGCGAAACTCGGGGTCGGCTTGGTAGCCGCGGATGAAGCTGTCCGGCAGGTCATTGTCGATCTCAAAGGTTGAATAGACCGCGATACAATGATCCAGACGCCGTGAGAGAGCATCCGCAAAACAGTTCGACTTCCCTGGAATGTGATCGGGAACGAAGTCAAACTGGTCCATGAAAGCCATCCATCGAGCGATGGTGTTGTTGACGGTGTCTTGGGTCTTGTAAAAGACCAACGGATTGTTGTTCGTTACCCATCGGAATCGGCTTTGACCAAGGAGGAAGTGTCGCCACCGCTTGAGCGCGTGGACGAAGGTGAGGAGCTCCTTGCGTGCATCGTCAATGGAGTGCACGACGGGCACTTTCTTGCTGAAATACTCGACTGGGTGCCAGTCCACGCCATCGTGTTGCTCGAGGACGACACCAATGGCATAGCCGGATGCATTCGGTCGTATATGCGCAAGACCTCCGCAGATAATAGCGCGGCTTTGAGAGCCAAGAATGATTCTCGAGGCCTCCTCTCCCAAGTCAAACGGTCGATCCTCGCATTGAAGCTTGGTCAAGTGGACCGCGATCTTCGAGTAGCCCTTGATAAAACGTTGGTAGTAGCCGGCGAGACCAAGGAACGAACGGACATCCGTGACGTTCCGTGGCTCCGACCACTCTTGGATGGCTTGAGTCTTGTCCGATTGCGGACTGATGCCCTCCGGTGTGACAAAATGGCCCAAGTATTCCATCTCGTGCCGGACAAATTTGCACTTGTCGTTGTTGGCCTTGTACTTAGCGCGGCGGAGCGTCTACAACACTCGTCGAAGGTGCTCAAGATGATCCTCCAATGACCGGCTATAGACAAGAATATCGTCTAAGTAGACCAGCACGAACCGGTCCAACAATGCACGAAACTCGTTGGTCATTGCCGTATGAAAGGTCGCCGGGGTGTTGGTGAGGCCAAAAGGCGTGACACCCACTCAAAATGCCCATTCCGCGTCTTAAACGCGGATTTGTAACGATCGTTCGGTCGGATCGAGATTTGATGATATCCCGACTTCAAATCCAACTTAGAAAAATACTTTGCGCCGCCCAATCGCTCAAGAAGGTCATCGATGCGAGGACGAGGCCCCGCATTATTGACGGTTTGCGCGTTGAGCTTGCGGTAGTCGTTGCACAATCGTAGATCTTTGTTCTTCTTCCGTACGAAGAGAACTGGCGCTCCGTATGGAGAGCTACTAGGGCGGATCCATCCCTTTTCCAACAAATCATCGAGTTGTGCGCGGAGGACCGTAAGCTCCTTCTCGTTTATGCCATAAATGCAACCTTTCGGCGGCACGGCACCGGCCTCAAGAATGATGTCGTGAGAGATCGGCCGATCCGGCATCACACCGGTAGGTGACTCGACGATGTAGGCGAACTCGTCAAGCAACCGCAACACACAAGGGTCTGAAGACAAGTCCGTGGGTGAAGAGTCGGCTACTGCGACGGTCCGTAGGAAACATAGGCCGATTTCGTCGGGCTGCTCGTAAGCACAAGTAGCCCGGAATGACTTGGCCGTCACCACTTGGCACCGAATCGAAGGGTGCGGAAGAGGAATAGTACACGACACTTCGACGCCGAAAGCGTCGCGAACGGTAAGAGTCCGCCGGTGGAAGTTGACCGTGTGATCCGCACTTGCAAGCCAAGGCATTCCCAAAACAATGTCGAAGTCCGTGTCCAAAATGTCAAATGTCACCGGTTCTCATGCATGAGGTGCGAAATACACCGGTACGGCCTCGATGTAGTCGATAAGTTGCTGCATCCTTTCGTCCGCCAACTTGATCGTCGTTGAATTTGCCTTCCTTCGAACTTGTGCACCAAGGCCAGCCCTTTGCATAAAGGCTTGGCTCATAAAATTGCGAGACACGCCACTGTCCAGCAAAGCACTGCAGGACGCTTGCCCAACTTGGATGCGAATATAGAGGAGTGGTGCGTTGTTGTCGTCAAACCGCGGATTGCGAAACTCGCTGGCCACCTTGGTAACATATGCAAGGATGTCCCCCACCGCGACTTCGTCATCCGTCGACGAGTTGGAGGTGCATAAAAGGATAAGTACGTGTGAAGATGAGCGCATAGTGCTGCGCATTGCAGTCCCGACAAGTGGCCCGTGGTCGGGAGAGGAAGCCATGCAAAATCCTCGAACGTGAGTGGGTCCAATACCTCTATGTTGAGCTCGCGCGCTGAATCCCGTGAAAAACCACTTGAAGACGATAAGTCGCCGTTGCCGAACGGAGAAGATGCCGCACACACGTCTTGTCCTTGAGCTTGAGTACCCAGCTTAGGAACGAGCCGGGCAGCATAGTCCTCAAAAGAATAAAGAAGAGGAGGACTATCGCCTTCCGCATGTGCTTCGGAACGAAGGGCGATCACCAGCGAAGCGACCGATTCCGAAGGCATCGAGAGTGTCGTCGAGTCACTCCCGGCGGTGCTAAGTTTTCCGATTTGCCCTTGCCTTTCGACTGGCAGGCCATTGTCTCATGGAGATCGCTATTGCACCGTAGGCAATAGTGGAATCTCGTGCGTGCCTTGTACGCCGATTCGGAGATACCGTACAAGAACCATGGGGCTGCGCCGGGCCAGGGGCTAGATGCGATGTTTGTTTTCGCCTTGCCACGTCCTCGGCCTTGCCGAGGCGGCCACTTCCCGGGCGGCTGCGAGTCTGTCCCCTTCATTGGCAGACACGACCTTGCACCGACCTCGTTTGTTTTTTTTTCGAGCCTTCGATTTTTTTTATTTTTTTTTTGAGTAAGTTTTTTTGTTTGCCAAACATTTTTCAAGATTTGTCAACAAGTTTTAAATTTTGATACGCGCATTTTATTTATCTCATTTTTTTTTCATCAAATCGCAATTGCGGATAACGGGAATCGAACCCATATCCCCTGCTTGGAAGGCATGCAATTTACCTTTAATCTATATCCGCTATTTACATATTGAATTGATTGACTCAGGCTCTTTTGGGTGAACGTAAAGTCTCGTTAGTTTGATCATTTGGTGTTGCCGCCACGACCACGGCCATTTTCGGACGATGTTGATCTCTGCTCGGGCCTGCCGCTGACAAACACAGGTTCTTAGCCTCCTTGTTCGTGACCATAATCTGTGTGGCCTTGTCAAAGAGTTCCGCCGTTGTCGTCAGGGTGTCCTCGACGTGAGTCAAGGAATTGTGAAATGTCGGACACGACCTTGAGATAAAATAGTGGCGGATGGCTTTGAAGCCCATTTGAATGTCTGGGACGGATGTCAAGCATTGGTACTTGGCAATCCAATCAGCACTCGACAGCGTGCCTTGTTCGAAGACCATCAACTTGTCCATTGCCTTGATCTCCGGCGGGTCTACTACGGACCACTTATGCCACGCCGCCTTCAGATCATCCCAACTGATCTTGGTATGCAAGTTGGCAGCTACCACTCCGTACTTGGACAAGAGATTGTCCAACCATGCTTGGCACGCGGCCCCCGACCGGGAGTATAAGTACGCATGGTGCTTGTGTTCTTTGACGTAGTGTAGCTGCAGAGTGAGCTCGAACTTGCGGAACCATGGAATCGAATTTGTCTTTGTCGAGTCGCAGAAGATCTCCTGCCCGTCGTACTTTTGAGCTGTCTCGCGCGGTTCCGAGCTCGAGTGGTTGGCGACAGTACAGATCCGTTGCTCCAACTGTTGCTTTGCGGTTTGCTGTAACTGCACGCCGTCCTTGAGGGAGTCGACATCAATCTCCAATGCTTCAAGGTGATCGGAGGTGTTGGAAGAGCTGGCATCGGGGGCCGGCGACTGGTCGCTGCTCCTGCTGTCGGAGGGGGTTGTGGACTTGAGTCAGCGCGTCGTGGAGGTTGTGGATGTCCTCCTGCTGTGTAATGCATGTTGCCAAGAGGTCTGTGAGATTGGAAAGGAGTAGAGCGATCTTGTTTTCACTAGCTTCCATCTTGCCATTCTTGGCCTCGGCCCGCCAATCCGCTGCCATTGTGAGCAAAGCTTGCTCTCCGCTGAATATCTTCTCACGACGTTGAACTCGTTCTTCATCGACAGCCTTTGCTGCTGCCTCGTCGTGCTGGCGCTGCTGTTCAATTGCCAGCAGACGTGTCTTCTCGGCGTTCTCTGCCTTCTTCTGTGTTGCGGCTGCTACTGCATCCGACCGTTACTTAGCTTCGGTAATCAGAAGCAGCATCCAGGCCTGATAGGCCTCGTTCGTTTCCCCGGACTTCTGGTCCATGACGGTTGTTTGTGAACACAAAAGCATAGACCAGGTCGGGGGCCTGCTGACGTGGTACTGCTGTCGGGTGACGTGGCACTGTTGTCGGCTGACGTGGCTTGTTGACGTGTCCGCTAACGTGGCCTGCTGACGTGGCAACTCACCAATGCCACCGCAGGGGGTACCCGAAGACAGATAGAGAAGGTTAGACCAGAGGTGGCAGCAACATAGGTGGGGAGGGGTGGGTGCAATTATCGCCCATTGTTACATGCCCAGATAAGGAGCCACTAATCAAAAAGAAAAGTTCGAACTTTGCAAAAAAACATTTTCGAGAAAAATAAAAATCCCGAGTTTTGCAAGTTCAGTAGGTCTCCCAACCTCCCTTGAAGTGCAAAAGTATCAATGAGAAAAAATTTCCGAACTTCAAACTGCCAATGATTATCAGGAAGTGAAAGTCATAGAATTGCGGAAAAAAAAAATTCCGAAAAGAAATAACAAGTATTTGGATTTACTCAAATGAGAGTATTCGCAGTTTGGAAAATGGTACTGAAGAGGGATTTCCCGAACCGTTTTCTGAAAATCGACTTTCGAAAAAAATATTCCGAATTTCCAAATAACGGGAAATTGCAAAAGGAGATCGAAATTTTCGAGAAAAAAATATTCCGGATTTCCAACAACGAAATTACGGATTTTCATAAGAAAAACGAAAACGAAAGTTTCAGACGTTGCGCTATTGCGATTTTCCACAACAGAAATAGCGAGAAAACGAAATCCAAGAAAAGAAAAAAAAATTGATTTTCGGCAGTGAGGTCAAAATCGTGATTTTGGGGGCTAACTGGTGTGCTCTAATCAATCAATCAAGACTAATCAGCTACCTAGTCCCCGCACACGTGTCAGATCAGGTTGTCCAGATTCACGTGCCGTGTTCCGATACCAACTGTTACATGCCCAGTTGGGCGATGTACATACAAACCGAGGATCCACAATGTGATAAAAAGGACTGAATGGACAATGCAGTGCAAGTGGAATCTCAACAAGCAATGTGCATTCCGATACATACAAAATGGTGCTTTATAGCGCAGGGAAGACTTTAGGTACAAGTCCTGACCTGACCGGGACTGACCTCTTTCACGTAGTACAAGATAACGAAGCAGGATGCTAGAATACTAATGACTAGCCCAATCAATGTTTCAACGCAGACCAAACATACATCATGCTCATCACACGGTGTGAAGGGGCCTGGCGCTATACACAGGAAAGAGGCGCCAGATCCAAACATACACAGACGAAGAGGAGGGGATCAGACGAAGAAGAGGAAGGGGGAGATGGGAAAGTCGTCAACATCAAGTCTCCTTACAGGTCCCAGGAGATGGGAAAGTCGTCAACATCAAGTCTCCTTACAGGTCCCAAATAATCCCTCTTCAATATGTCTGAAGTCCAATGTCGAGTCTGGATCCAAAGGTCACCAAACTCTCTCTCTCTCTCTCTCTCTCTCTCTCTCTCTCTCTCTCTCTCTCTCTCGTAGTCTGCTGATGCAGTGAAGTCAGATAGCGAGAGGGTGAGAAGGAGATGGTGGACTGAGAAGAGGAAGAAGAAGAACTCTCTCTCTCATGTGTCAGGTACTAACCTGCGAAGATGGCGCTCTGCTGCAGGTACCTCGAAGACGAAGTTGGAGCAACGGCGCTGCAGGTAAGTATCGCTGGCCTCCGCCCAATCTCTCTCTTTCTAGTATTTCTCTAGCTATGGCGCCCAGCGCTGAAGACTACAACTAACGCTACTAGCGCCCAACGCTGAAATGGCCCTCGTGTGAAGGCGCAACATGTAACACTCTTCCTAGTCCTCGTCTTCCTCCTCCTCCTCCAGCCCATGCGCCTCCACCATAGCCGTGGTAGAGAGCTGGGCGCTCTGTCCTTCCCAGCAACGTTGGTTGAAGCAGTGTTGCTCCAGCCAGCGTTCCAAGCAGTGTGTCGCCAAACTTGCACATCGAAGAATGAGGAGGAGCACTTCGCTCCTCCTGGAGATATAGCAGCATGCTTGCCTCCTGGGCGGTGACTTCCTAGGCCATGTGGCCTCCAAGCAACCGGTACCTCCTCCCTCTCAGAGGGAAACATCATTGCAGACTAAGATATTGCCCGTACAGGCCCTAGACTTAGATTGGTTGGACTGGTAGCCTACACCTACTGGGCCTTTAAAAATGCCAACTTTGTCTTCTGCTCGGCCTCGAGTACCCCGCACATCTACCTCTTCTTGGTGTGGTGCTGGCCTACCTGATACTTTCGCTGCTCCACGTGCCGCAGGCCTAGAGTACCCAGCACATGTACCTCTTCCGAGTGTTTTCCCCACTGCAACCCTCAATGTCACGGCCACAGGTAGGTACCGGCCCCTCGGGCCTCCCGCACGGTCAAGTACCCTTGCGGGTCACACACACACTCAAACCGACAAGCACTCTGACAGGCATGCAGCGAGAGGGTGAGAGGGAGATGGTGGACTGAGAAGAGGAAGAAGAGGAACTCTCTCTCTCTCATGTGCCAGGTACTAACCTATGAAGATGGCGTTGTGCTGCAGGTACCCCGAAGGCGAAGCTGGAGCTATGGCGTTGCAGGTAAGTATCCCTGGCCTCCGCCCAATCTCTCTCTCTCTAGTACTACTCTAGCTCCTAAGAGCACCCAGCGCTGAAGACTACTGCTAACGCTACTAGCGCCCAGCGCTGAAGATTACTGCTAGCGCTACTACTACTCCTCCAGCGCTCCTCCAGAGTGCTGCTGCCGAATCCTGAAGACTACCTCCTACCTCCTGAACTACACGTGAAATACCTGGGAAGTACCTAGGAACTACCTGCAGCCTGCAGGGCGGGCCAGTTCTATATAGTGCTGGCTCGTCCAGGAGGCTGCTCTTGCCAATGCCGAAATGTGCCAGACCCTGGCGTTGAAGCTCAACCAGAGGTTGTCTTGAAAACAGGCCCAGAATGGCCTATGCTAAAACCCTGGTTTGGTGCCTGAGTTTCAGGGCAGGTCGAACTCATGAGGGCCTGAAAATGGCCCTCGGTTTCAAGCTGAAAAGACTCAGGGTCGGAAAGGCCTTGATTTAGGCTGAAACGACACAGGGCCTGTAGGCCCTTGTTTTCAGGCTTTCAAGCTGAAACGACACGGGTCCTGTAGGCCCTTGTTTTCAAGCTTTCGGCCTAAAAACGTCAAGGGTCTGGAACTGGCCCGTGCAACGTGTTCAGGCGCAGCATGTAACACCTGCCACGCGTTAGACCAACCAGTTGTAAGTAGGAGAGCAGATTACGGATCTGCGAACCGTAATGCAGTACGGATCTGCGAACCGTAATGCAGCCTCATTGGCATCACGCCGGTAGACGAATGAATTGAGTTGTTGTATAACCCCTTGACTAAATACAACTCTGCATGCCACGTTTCCTGATCGAGGATAATTAAAGCGCGGTGAAGCTAAAACAAAGTCTGGTAACTTTCCTCGGCCAAACCATTAACTTCGGGATGTCGGCGAGATGTCATACTCGGTTTGAGACTAGGGAGTCGGGACGTAAGGTCCTTCAACTCAGTACTTATGAAGCGCGGGTCCCGATCACTCACAAGGGTTTTCAAGGTCGCAAACTGCAGAATGTGCTTTTGGTGGAACTCACAGATCACGCGTTCAATTGGGACATGAGGTGGCAACGGAATCAGATTTAGGAATTTGAAAAATCGATCAACAATCACCATCACTTGTGAATATCCTTTCTTTCATGTCTTTCGCATGTCTGTGAAGTCGATAGAGACGGACTCTCTGGACGATTGGGAATGGGAAGAGGTTTAAGCAGCCCCATAAGCTTTTACCTTGATGGTTTGATTCATTGACAAACTTGACACTCAACCACAAACTTTTCAGCAGACCCTTTCATTCCAATGCAGTCAAATTGTTGTAACAGGTTTCCGTAGGTTTTTGCCATGCTGAAGTGTCCACTCCGACCATGAGCCAAATCCAAGAAGTGTGTGCAGAGAGGCTCATGGTTGGGTACACACAAACGGTCATTTTTTCCATAGCGTCGGAAAACCAGTCCTTCACATTTGTGAAAATCAGGCTGACTGTTGGGGTCATCGCACAACTATTCAAGGATTGGACCAAGGTCCGAATCCTTGGTGGTTTGCTCCACGAGCCCCTCCTTCAGTTTTTTCGGGAGGTCGTAGAAGTTCACAAGGTAAGTCATATACTCGGGTGGCAAGACAATGCATCAGCAACTCGATTATAACAACCCTTTGTGTTTTAATTCAAAGTTAAAAATGTCAATTTCATGGAACCGGTGAGTCAATGTAGGAGACAAGGTAGTTTGCTCCTTGATTCATTTCAAGGTCTCATGATCTAAGAAGACCTTGAAATGGCGTCCCAAAAGATAGTGCTTCATGTGTTCCTCAATCGACTTGCAGAAAATCAGAATGTCATTAAGATACACAACCACAAATCGACCAATCTGTTCGCGGAGGACCTTGTCCATAAGAAATTAGAAGGTGGCCGTTGCATTCGTATGACTGAAGGGCATTACGTTGAATTCGTCAAGTTTGTCGCGAGTCTTGAACGCAGTCTTGTGCTGGTTCGCAGGATCGACTTCAACCTAGTAGTACCCACACTTGAGATCAATCTTGGAGAAGACCTTGCACCGACCTGCAACATCAAGCAAATCATCTATGCATGACAATGGGTACGCATTCTCCCTCGTGATGCGGTTTAGACCACGGTAATCAATACACATACGGAGTTTGCCTCCTTTCTTTAGGACAAACAGAACAGGTGCACCAAATTCAAATTCACTTGGCTTTATCCATCCCTTGTCAATCACCTCGTCGATTTGTTCCCAAAGTTCCTTTACGACGCCAGATCCCATACGGTATACACAATCCCTTGGAGGAGCTGCGCCTTCAGCCAACTCAATCGTGTGTTTGACTGATCGTGTGAGATACCAACAGGGATCGGCCAACACTTCAGGAAATCGGTCGAGTAGGCTTTGGATGCTTGTTGGGACAGGCGGGAGTGGGGGATCAAAAAAAGGATCACCTAGACAGGTCACCGATTACTATTGAAGGCATCCGAATTTGAAGTAGACACACGTGGAATAGGAGTAGAGATACTAGAAGTAGGCATACAATGCACAGTAGAACCAGTACTAGCCGCAAAAGTAGTAGGCACATGAGTAGGGTGAACAAAAGCAACATACAACTATTCATCCTCCTTGTGCTTGTGTCGCGTTTTGCAGAACTGCATTGCATTAAGACAAGTCACTTGGGATTCTCTTTTCTTGTCTAGTATTACAGCGCGTTCATCTCCCAAGGCAGCATGCACCAAAAGGAGATCGGCCTTCCACACAGTCCATTTGCATTGGGAGTGTAGCCCACCGAATCCAAGAACTGCGTCGAAAGGAACCTTATCAAGTACATAGAAGTTGAGTGCACATGTGACTGTTTTATCTTTGTCAAAGGTAGTGCACACACCTTTGAGCGCATGTGTGGAGGAGACAACTTCTTTGTTGCCTACTTGGGTCTAACAAGGGGCTTGCAACTCCACTTGCTTCATTCCCAAGCCCACCTTGCATACCTCGTGTGGAGACATAAAGTTAGTAGTCGTGCCGCAATCAACCAAGACACGAAGGTAGCAGTAGTTGATGAGAAGTTTGAAGAAGATCAACTCCTCTCCCGCTTGAGCACGCCGTTGTTTCATCTCGGCCCAACGCTCTAGGTGGTAGTGGAAGTTTACCATCTCAAACTTCTTCCAAGGCTCATCATAGAGAACATTACACGCGCCAGCCTTGGAATCGGCAAATGATGGGGCTTCAAGAGAGGACTGTTGAATTGTATCTAGTTCCTTGGAGGAGTTATCACTTACCTGTTCAGTCTCCCTTGTTGTAGAAGGTGTTGATGCCCAATCTACGCCCAATTCCGATTTCCCAACAACCCATAACTTTGGACTTAATGGTTGGGTTTCGGGCAATACAGACAAACTCCCTTCTTGATCCTAGCCTAGCCTTTCACTCACTTTCATTGATCCGGAGGTCCAACCAAGGTTTGGTTGTGGCATTCTCCGGCTTGGCTGGGATCTTGGCTCCTTTGGGGAGTGGGACATAGTTCTTGCCTGAGTTCCGGTTTGGTAATCTCACATTGGCAGACTTCGTAAAAACATTAAATTGATCTTCATCGTTATTAATATCAGATTCATGGGTTGAAGATGAACAGGCTGTATCAGAATCCAGCTCTTGATGGTCACCAAGAGTGGGGTCATCTGCATAGGCCTCCTCATCAGCCTTCATGCACAGCAAAGCGGTTGCTACCTCTAAACCGCTTGTTGCCTGCTATGGAAACGAGGTATTGTTGCTCGAGGTTGACTACATCCTGCATGAGGGAAAGCCAATCCGTGTATCCAATGAGATTTGTGCCTAGGCGATGTGTGTAAGTAGTGGGAACCGCACCTTTCACAACATCCATGTATGACTGTGCAGTCATTTCCAACCCGCGAGTAGCAAAAAGTTTGCAGACATACAATTGCAGGTTGTGCATGGTGCCTGACCACCTCCTGTGCTTGAAATAGTCAAACTTGTTCCTTACTCTCGCAGCAACATGTAGATCTTTATATTGTTTAATCAAGATCTCTTCCATTGTGGCCACTGGTGTGGCCTTAAAGCCATTGCGTCAGATCACTCTTTAGTATACCCGACTTGCATAGCTTGGACTTCCAAGAAGCCCCGTACGTCGGGTTCGACGTTTGTCCCTAAGATATAAGGACTAGCTCATCAATTGAGTTTCAATACCTTGAAGTAGGCCCTCATGGAGCTTATCCAAAACTCAACGTCTTCCTTGCCGTCGTACTTAAACGGTATTTGTACCGTCTTCCCGTCCACATAGGGACTGCTATAGTCGGCATCAGCAAATGCTTTACCTGAACTCGAGGCTGCACCAGTTGCAGAAACCCCAGTGTTGTCACTTGTTGCAATGGCAACGGGGTCTGCACCTACCGCAGGTCCCGATTGAACAACACTCTGAGAAGAAGAAGTAGAGGCATTGAGAGGAGCGAGGACGAACTGGTAAGCAGCATTGGGGGCATGAGGTAGAGGAAGAGTTAAAAATTTGGGCCTGATGCAGATTTGCCATTTGCCGCATCTGATCACTATGCTCCTTGGCCATATCCGCAATCTGCGTTTCCAGTTTACTTACCTGGTCAACAGTTTATAGATCTGACCAGGAAAGTCAATGAGCAGGTGACAGTCTATAAGTGCACGCTCATATGTGACCAGATCTTTCTTGACCTCGGCGCCAGGCAAGGAGGGGACTGTTTTAAAGACAACCTCATGGTCTGCAACAGCGGTTTTCAACGTTTCCTCCTCTGCCTTTTCTTCCCTTGCCGGTGCCTTGTCGTAGAGGACTTGGAATAATGGTTTGCCCTCATCGTTGGTCACATCCACTTCGACCTTTAAAGCCACAGAAGCCTTTGCTATTGCCATGTGCAAGGAACATGAGTATGTGCGAAGCACAAAAATCCAGAATGCAATATCACACTGAAGTCCTAGTATTCAAAGCCAAAGCAGATAGCACATGGAACCGAGTAACCATCCAATTGAGATTGATAAAGAAGAATCGTGAGTCAATGTCCATGCCCAACAGGGCGACACCAACAGCATATCCCAAATGTAGCTCTCTCTTGTGAATGGCGCCAGGCGCCCTATCTACTCTACAACTATCCTACAACTACAGCAATGAAAAGCAAATAGCCCACTTGACTACCAGCGAGTGATGATGTCAACACCAATGTCGTCCTCCACCATCACCAAATACGTGTCATCTTCCCCACACTCTCCCTTGTCACCCACACAGCGCCCTTCACCTTCGAAGTACCACCTTCGCCCTTCACCCCTCTGCGCACATAGGCAGCCCGGCTCTGGCCGCCAGTGCCCTGCGCTCACAGGCAGCGCCCTACCGCCTAACGTTGTCCTGCTCCACTGCGCACACAGGCAGCCCGGCTATGGCCGTCAGCGCCCTGCGCTCACAGGCAGCGCCCTACCGCCTAACGCTGTCCTGCTCCACTCAGCCTTAGCGCAGCGCAGCATGCCTGCAACGTAGCAGCGTGCCGGCCTTGCTCGCAATCGCCAAGATCCCTGCTGCCTTGCCCTGCTTGCCTATATGCCAATGCAGCATGTGGGCGGCCTCCCTTCAGCCTGCGACCGGGGCCCAGAGGCTGAACTCAGCCCGATACAGTTGGGCCCCCGGAGATGCAGTTGTGCCTCTCTCATCCAGGCCTGCGGCCAGATTCAGACAGTGGGCCGATTTCCCTTTGCATTTTCGGCCTCTTTACCCAGCGTGCATTGTCGGCCTCACGTTCAGGAGCCCAGGGCCTAACTAACTCAGAGGCCCTGGGCATTTCAGCATTTGTTGAGATCCGAAACTTGGTGCACTCCAACCAACTGGCGTGCTGCAACTGTAAGGACCCCACTTCGTGAAATGTATGCACATAGGGCTATTGTTGATTTGCTGGCCCGCCTTCACTTAGGGCGTGCACGAGGCTTGCTGGGGCCTTAGCCCAGAACATGTACATCATGGCAAGGCCCCTTCTTGAGGGCTCATTCCTCACATTCCATCCCCCTTAGCTTCGAAAGTCTGCTGAGATGCTTACTTCGCAGGTGCCTTCCCTTTTAGCTTCCGTTCATAATCTGCCACCACCTGAGGAGCTGTCTCAATCAGTTCTTCCCTGGTAAACCACCGGTCTTCTTTGGAATCCGTGTGATGCCTGAATCTGACACAGTACTCTCTCTTGGGTTTAGGAGGTCTTCCTCGACCCAGCGGCTTCGCAACAGGCATGTCCCTGTGATCCACAATATCATCGATGTCGACTTGTCCATCCATGGTTGGGGGCAGCATTGATCTCCTGGAAGGGAATTGATCTGTCTCAGCGAAAGGTGCAAGCTTCGAGGCATGAAAGACTGGGTGAGTGCGTAGGTGTCCAGGGACACGAATGACATATGTGGGACCATCCAACTCTTCTCCCACTACATCTAGGACTTCCCAGGGACCAAAATATTGCGGCATTAGTTTGCGAGAGATTCCGAACTCCTGTCCTAACTCGCTAGCCTTGACCCAGACTCGTTCCCCTACCTCATATGCTCGAGAGCCTCTTCCAGCAACTTCTCATACTGCACACCATACTCTAGTGTGCCGGGAGTTGCAGCGGATCGGTTTTCAGGTAGAAGGAAGTCTAGCGCTGATCTAGGCTTCCATCGCAAGTGCAGCTGATTCGGACTAACGCCGGTACTGCTATGCATAGCATTGTTGTACAGGCTGGCGATGAGAGGTAACTGCTCATCCTTGTCTTCCTGGCTGGGCTTGATGTAGTGCCTCAGCAAGTGCTGTACAACTCTATTCATTTGTTCGGCCTGTCCGTTGGCTTCGGGATGATTCCCTGAAGTCATCTGAAGTTGACTGCCCAT